TCTGATACAAAATAGTGTAAGAACCTTTAGTAATGTTTTTCTCATGTAATGTATAAATTATCTTCAGAAGATGTAACAACAGAAATACAAGATTTTTTACCTGGTGGTAATAAAGAAAAATATTTCCAGTAGAATTTATTACTTTTAATGCTAAAAAAAATCCCCAGGAATTGGGAATTCTGGATTAAATAATTTAATAATATAACCCCTGGTGCCAGATTCATTACCAGTGTTATTCCACCAATTAATTTATCGATCTCTACAAAACAACTATAACTGAAACTATTTTCTAAGTTAAAGAAACAGTTTGAGGGATTTTGCATCTGTTTCTGGTATTTTGGGAAGAGACCTTAAAAATCTCCAAATCTGTTTATGTAATTTCTCCTCAATCCAGTATTTTGTCAATATCTTCCTTTATAAATAGTCAGCCCACTGATTTTTATTAGTATCCTTTTTTGCTTTTGCATGCACTGCTTTATATTCCTTGTTGTCTTTTGTGTACTAGTACTATCAATGCTCTTCGACATTTTCTTCATGTTTTAGACATGGGTGTGCTGTACAAATCTCTCGCTGTGTTTGCTTGCTTCTTCAAGAACTGTTATTGTGAAGTTAGTGAAAAAGGTCAGGGTGATTATTTAGTGGGAAAAATCGAATCTGCTGGAACTTTATTGCTTTCCTCTAAGAAATCTGACTTATTTATGACATAAGGTATTTTAGGGCACCTGATAGGACTTACTTCTTTTTTTATGATACTCCTGCCTTTGTGTAAAATTGTGCTATAAATGATATTGACAGTGTCATACAGTACTACTGTATTGTTTTTAAGTTGCATTGTTTCAGCAATTTATAGTCAAACAAACCAAAGTCATGACTGTCTGCCCTACTTGCAAAATTGTAGAGACTTGTCTTAAATTTTTCAATATATGTTAGGGAAACTTTTAGCAGAGGAAAGTTTAGCATAGCTCAAGGAAAGATGTACTGTTTCTTCTGGCTTGAATCCATAGCTCTTAAAATAGATGTAATATAGACAGGTGTGTAACTATGTAGGGATAATCCTATGATTGGGATACTTTTCTTAATGGATTTAGTAAAGTCCATTGGAAACACTATACCAAAGAGTTGCCTGACAAGTGCATTAAACTAGATACTCTTCTCAAAAAAGGAGATGAGATCATCCCAATTGTCCATACAGTAAGACATATTAAATACAAAGTTGAGGCTGGTTCTCTGACCCCAAAAGAAATAATCAAGTCACAGCTACTTGTAGGTTACTGGAAAGGCTAATTTGTATTCCCTTGGAGGCAGTAATGAGATAAAAGAGCCCTTTAAGACTCTGTTGGTCAGAATTATCTTCAGATTCTCTTCTCAAACAGGATTCTTTTTTAACCTGTAATACCAAAATTGATGAAGAACTTCTCTGTATCTCTCAAAGGTAGACAAGTCAGCTTTCTCTCTTGTGTTTGCACCTGCTGAACTTTCTCAAAAGCCTTTCATTTTACAACCCCGGGTTTTTAACCCCCATAACAGATCCTTAAGCAAACTGTCCAGAGATTTGATCAATTTGCTTTTGCTTTTGCTTTCAATGATTACTGATGTTCAATAGTACCCAGTTTGAGAACTTCCTTAGGTTACAGTCCATCATACTCTTGAATGCCCTGTATCTCTTGATCTGGAAAAAAAATCTCCACCAAGTTTTACAAAACCATCGAAGGATTTCATGCTCAAAAAGGACCATGCAGGCTACTCTCCTTATGACTGAGTGATCTCTTTTAAGCATTCTTCAGAGTTGATTGCTTAGAGAATTATTTTTTCATATGCTGGTCTTCTGGTTAATTCCGCCACCATTGTTTAAATCAAGATAAATAGACTTTCAAAGACAATGCATTTTTGCATAAGTGAAAATAAGACTTCTAAATGTTTTTTTGGTTGTGGGTTTTTTTGGTTTTTTTTAGAAGTGGGTAGGTTTCCTTTAACTTTTTTAAGTGATTGAAAAATACATGAAGCATTCCATGTTTACTACTGTTCAATATCTTCCAGACAAAATTTGTTATGTTTTCCTTATAAGCAGCTGGGAACTTTTCAACCACCAAGCCTACAGGAAGAGCTTGTGATCCAAACATTTAACTGGTTTTATGTAGAATGACTGATACTCGCTTTTTTGCAAATCAGACACTCTGACTATGCAAAGGTGTGGGCTCACTGGGGCAGTTATAGCCTTTAGAGCAGCTTTGGGTGCATGCTGTGTATGGTGTGATGAGGAAGATACCATACTATTTAACAATTTGTTCATTTTTATATCACTACTGCCACTATATCCAATCCCATATCCTTCTGTTTTTAGTGATACTGCATTGGATTATAGAGACTTATTTGTTTAAAAATTTCCTTCTACCTAATGTTATTACAACTGGAATCCAAAAATAAACAGGCCTAATCACTATTCTTTTACCACTGCACTTTTAGGTTTGTTCTAACCAGTGCTAGAGAGAGTTGAGACTTCAGGAATAGTTGAGAAAAATGTGCAAGATACTTCTGCAAGATACAAAACCTGTTTTGAAGAGGTTTTAAAGAAGACAACAAAAATTGGCCAGGTAAGTGTTAAGTAGCTATCAGCTCTGTGCAGAAAACAGTGTGCTGAGCTTTGTTTCCTATGGTCATTTGCAAGATAGTACAGACAGATTTTGGATTCTGAAAATTACCACATACTGTAGAGCTGTGAGAGAATGGGGATTCACAGCATCTCAAAGGAGAACCTCAGAGCCTGATGGAATTACACCCTACAAGTTAGTTATGCTATGCTCGATATGCCTTTTTATATAGGCATCTAACCTGAACATTATGGCTTTTCTATAAAATTGCCGGTTTCATAATTCCACTTTTATTTTTCTAAGGATGGAAGAGAATGAGTTATTTAATATTAAAATGTAGCTTCTCTGCATGCTAAGCTTAATTGACTCAGCACTAATTATTATAACTGGATTATTGGCTCAATAATAATTTTTGAAGGGGTAGCTGCATAAATGCTTGATCATCTTTTCAAGCCATTAAACACTCTGGGCATCAGCCTCTTAACAGTAATTCTGACATGTTTATCTCAGCTGGGTTTGTAATTCTTCTTTGTTTCAGGGTTTGTGATCTGTATATACAGTAGATTCGGAAAAAAACCCACACACAACAAAACCCCAACAAAATGATATCACCTTCCAGTTGAATAAATAAATAAATAAATAAATAAAAACAGACTATTCCAACACAAGATAAACCTCAGTGACTAACAAATAAAATTTTCTCCTTAAAAAGCAATTATGCTTTTGTCCATTAAGTCTGGACACCTGGAGTAAATATTTGTTCCAGATTTGCAGGTACCTTATTACATTTATATTTAAAGGTTAGATACAACAGTTCCTCTTGGTTACCCTTCATATAATTAACCTAAGTACTTCCACACTTGATTTATAAAGAAAGTATCTCATGCAGCCCACATCCCGAAACCCATTAAGAAATAAAAACACTCTTTTCATTGAATTTTTCGGTGAACAAACAGAATGCAACATCAGATTTAGAGTTTCCCAGCCAATTCTGTGAATAACTCTTAAAATTCCAGATGACAGTTACCTATGAATGCTTCCTGGCTGCAGAAACCTATTGAATTATCCTCGACTCCTTTATTATTATTATTATTTTTTAAGATTACACACACTTGGGCCCTCCATAAGCAGTTAAACAATAGTTAGTTTGATCATTTACGCCTAAACGCATTAGGACAAATTCGTGCTGTACTTTTTTTAGACACACACTGCGCCCTTCCTGAAGGCATGGGATGGAGGGATCAGACCTCCCGTCTCCGCCACCGGAACGAAGCAATAATTCCGGACCCAGCAAGAGTGTTTGTTCTGGAGCCAGTCTCCCTCCCCGGCCCCTCCGACCCGAGGAAAAAGTTCAGCTGTTCTTCTCGGCGGTGCTGTCTGGCCCGGGGCAGGGGGCAGCCAAGCCCGGCCCGGCCGGCGTTGCCCATCCCGCCGCCAAGGAATGCCATCCCGTCGCTCCAGCGCTGCGCCGAGCCGAGCAGCGCCGAGCCTAGCCAGCAGTGGCATGATCTACTAATGGCTTCTTTTCATTTCAGCCCTCCCTGAGAGACTCAGTGGCAGATTGTAGACTCAATTACTCTCATGTCAGGTGATTATCCTAGGTCTTAATGTAATCTTCCATTCACACATACCATATTTCAATTACGGCAGCTATGAAACAAGCTGTGTATTCAAATCACCAATCACCTTATCACTGCTGAACAATGTCAACTGTAAAAAACGCCAGCTGAAGGCAATTACACATGTGTTGAGAACCGATTATGATTACTCTCTGTGGTATTTGTGATGAGCTGGGGAATGTTCTGAAAATTTAATTTAATGACAATATGCTTGCTGTACAATCCATAATACCTCCTGAATCCAGCATGGGGCTATTAAAACTGATAGGAGCATATTATCACCGAACTGAAAAGCTGGGTTGGGATGGTTGCTGGATGTCTCTACAGGGAATGATAGGTAATTTCTCCACATATTTCTAACGGCTAAGGCAGACAGCTTCCAGTTCCAGCTGCACTCTGAAGGTGGTCCCTTCCCCTCCCTCCTCTCTCCCGGAGCTGAGTTAAGGAGTTTTACTGTAGCCGCTGCGGAGGGACGGGGAGGTGAGTGGAAGAGGGGTGTGAGGGACATTGCCTCAGGGACCCCAGGGCACAGCGCCGTTTCCCCTTGGGCATTTTCTTGACCTCGTTAAACCTTTTCTCGGATTTTTTTTTTTTAACTTTCCTCTCGTTTTGACACCCTCTCTGCACAGCCACGTAGATTTAACAACAGGAGGAGGAGATACAAGTGCCCCTCACAAAATGAATCCCTCCAGGCTCCTGGAAGGGAGCAGCAACATCCCCCCCGTGCCATCCTGCGGGGTCGCCCGTTGCTAGGCAACAACCCAGGCCAGAGGAGTGCTTAGCCCCAGTACCCCAAACGTGTGTATGCACATAACGAAGGTGCAATTGTAATTGTGCGGCTCTCCGGCCTGCCTGGCACGGCCCTTGCTTCCAACAGGTAGCCAGGCTGGAGGGCACATAGACAGGAATCCCGCCGCCTCCTCTGGGCACCGCCAGTGCGGCGCTGCTCGCAGGGATGAGGAGGAAATCCAGGGCCCTGGGTGTCCGGGGTGGGGGCTGGTGTACAACGCTATTGCTATTTATCGATCTGAATTGGTGGGATTCTAGATTAGCCTTGCAATTCATTTCAGAAAGCTGACAATCTCCGCTGCCTGGGCGAAACACAAAGGTCTCCCGTTCTTCCAAGGCTCCGGCCGATAACGCTGCGCTGGGGAATTGTGCGAACTCTGTGGCTCCGGTGTATTGTCTCGCTCTCCTTTCAAGGGCTGCGTTATGAACTCAGGACTCTTCAAACAAAACACGTCATCTCCAGTGCTGAATCGAAAATCCCGTTTAACTTGAAACACGCAATGTCATTCACCTACATAGAAAAACCCCCCCAGTTTCCAATTAATATATGCTGAAGAGATTTATTTATCTGCACTAATATTTCATATACAGTGCATTAATTTTTGTAAACAGGTTGATTTTTTTCAGCAGATAAACCTATTGTGGTAATTTTTGCTTCATTGTATACAGGAATTTTATCATGTATTTATTACTCTGAAAGCATTTATTTAAGTAGAATTCTGCAGCACACATGCTTTTTAAGCCTGGAAAACATATAGTTATCACATTGTCCCAGACTTATACGTTTATAAGAATGAGACTTACCTGATTTTTTTTTTTATTTTTTTTTTTTTAAGTTACTCTTTTACACAGTGACAAGTATCCTGACTCAATTGTCTTTTGCTTATGTCTGCTGTACAGGCACTAGGACAAGAATATCTGACCAGATCCATAAGGGAGAAGATATTGTAGTACCTTTTTTCTTTTGGATACTTACCTATGTGTCTGAATAGAACAGGAATGTCAAACATAAGGTCAGAAAGTAAATAAATAAGGTTGATAAAAATTACATAAATTAGAAAAGTCAGAGCAAGCAACTAGTAACATTTAAACAGTATACTTAAATTATTTGAGTCTATTTGGAAAAACAGTTTCTGTTGTTAAAGAGGTTTTAACTGTAAAATTTACTTTTTAAAAAGCCAGTTCTGAAAAAGAAAAAAGGTATAAATAAAGGTGATGGAGAAAAGACCAAATCACAGGCAAAAAATATGCTAGCAAAACAAGCAAGGGCTTAGGAAACTTAAGTCATGCCAGCTTTTGGGTACACAAAAGTAAACTATCTACTAGACACTACAGGATTTTTTTACAGTATGTACATGATGATCATGTAACACAATATGGTGATTAATGTTATTATAGTAACAGTAGTAGTAACAATGTCAATATTAACAGCAGTGATACCAATAACAAAAAAAATTGGTGAAACCAAAACAGAACCAAATGGAGTAAATTAATAAGGAGCCTAAGATTCAAACCAGCTGTTTCTCCAAAGGACAGAAATGGTGCATCTTCATTCTGGGTTAGTCTACAGCTAAGGAATCACTGATCTGTGAGCAGTCAGAATCTGAATTCCAGTTGGAAGCAGACACTTCAGGGCATCTCTGCTTTTTGCTGCAGGAATACAGAATTCACATCACATGTGTCTGGCGCTGGCAAGGAAAGCTTTCCTTTTACATGTAGTAGAAAGGCAGCATGCAAGGTGATTTGTGACATTCCTCTTCGTATCTCATTTTGAAGAGAAAGCCAAGAAATAAAGAAAAAAACCTTGTCTCCTATTAATTATGTTATTAATTGAATTTATATTGTTACTGGCATGTTTCTTGCATGAAGGGAACAATATTCTATAAATAAGGGAGATACAGCACAATGGCATAGCTCCAAACTTTTTTCCAGTTACCGGATCACTGTCTGATTTACTTTACATATAAGGAACTGCATCCCAGCATCATCTAGATTTTTTCTTAATCAGAGTGCTGGTTTTTTGTGTGTTTGTGGTTTGGGTTTTTCCCTTCCTAATTTTTTTATACTTTTTCATTTTTTTTTTCTTTCCTAGGAAAGCTGTTTAAAGTCTGTGAGAAAATATCTCCATCCACCTTACACATACTGTGTATGCATACATTACTATAAACACAAATGGGCACATAAAAACTATAAAATCACGCTAAGAAAGAACTAAAAAATTGCTCTTTGGCCCCAAATCTGTCATTCAGGACAATTGAAATTTCTCCTTAAGTTGAAGGAAGCATCAGCTGAGCAAAGTTACCATGACAGAAATCAAGCAAAATGCTATTAGGTAAATACCCAACACAGTGAAGGTCTTTATTGATTTTTCAGCAAAATGAAGTTACTGTACTTATTTTAAAGATCAATTTTATCACCTGAGCTTAGGTATGTTGGACTTCAAACAAAGAAAGAGGGCAATCCTTTATAAACCCCTCTGTGACCCTAAACAGCCAGAAAACCAAAAGGCCAGTTTATTTTGTTAGCTGAATTACATTTCTTTTTTCTTTCTTTGATTGTTCTTAAATATAATTATCTGTCAAAAATATAAGCTATCTGATTACAAATTGTGCTATTTTTATTGCCCAAGGCAGTTGTTAATTTTTGCCATAGGTCAGACAGGATAATGCCCTAAAGAACCAAGACCTTCTTAATTGCATGGTGTACCACTAGCTGTTGCCACATCTCAGAGGAGTTATTGCACCTTGTAGATAATGCCCTTTTCCCCTGCAAGCCATGAAATAGGTTCTCCCTACATCGATGTATTAATTAGATTTCAAGAGTGTTTCAAAAATTATAGCTGAAGCTGCAGTTCAAATATTTCAGAAGTTATTATAAAGATTTCCTGTTATGGGTTTTTTGCTTGTTTGTTTGTTTGGTTTGGTTTTTTTTTCTCTAATTGAAAAAGGGGAGGAAATGATCTTGAACACTCTCTTTTTTTTTTTTTTTTTAAAGATAAGGAAGAAGCCCAACCTGTAAACTTTGTCACATTTAAAGAATATACAAGTTTATAAGTTTTGATAGAATTCCAGGTTAACTTTGTCAATTCTGATGCTGTAAAAAGTGAATGAATTGAGACGACCTGTAGAAATCTCAGGAAACATTTGAAATTTCTTCGACTGGCTGTATATCAAATATACAGTGAAAAAAGGAAATAGAAGGAAAGTAGAAAAGAAGGGCAAGAGGCGAAATGGTTTGTGTCCATTTAAGAAAAAATCAATAATAGCATAAAATTGATTTAGTGCTTGTCATAAAACATAAGTAAGTGCTGGAAAATAGAGAAAATTGAGTCTCAATTTAATCTGCACAAAAGCTACACTGTACTGATGAAGTGATCTGAGGAGAGAGCTACATAAAACCTAAAGACAGATACTTAATTGTCATATTAAAGACTCTCTTTTCTGCCTGCTGGAGTCAAGGGGTAGGACCCATTAATCATGTGGATAAGGGGCATTGAAATCAAATCTCAATTAAAATCTGTTCAATAATGTCTCTAATATGTTTTTCAAGCATTAATTTTTTCCCATCGATTCTACACCCCATAAATCAGATATGTTGCAGTGCATGTAATAGTTTATGGAGGAGAGGATTATGGTTTTATGAAGTTAATGCAGCAGAACCATTTAATTTACTCAGGCTAAAGTTTTATGTCTGTTGATAATTTCTATTGTTTTCTGCGGGTTAAAATTCTTTGGAATATAAACCTAAACCAATTTTTTTCTATTTTCATATGTGCGTGTGTGTACGCAAACATATCTGTGTATACTAATGACCTGACTTATATGGCCCTGCTGGCAAAGATTATTATTGAAGAAGATATATTTTTTTTATTTAAGACTGTGGTTTTGAAGAGTAGAGGTAAAAATCTCTCAGCAAAAAAAGACAACCATTTTTTGTACTGTTACACTATGCAGTGTCTGGTGAAACACAAGCAATAGCAGGGATACTGGCAACTCAGCTTCTGGCTTTTATGTGAATCTAAGAGAATATGATCATGAGAAGTTTTGTATGAGATGTAAAATTAGTTTGCAACCAGTCTAGGACGGAAAAGATCTTAGCCTTTCCACATTTGAAAAAGTGTTAAACCTTGCAAAAATCTCTTTCTGGAAGCTATATTGTCCACCTACATTTCCTGACAGGTACAATTGGCTATATCCTGCTTCATTTTCCATCATAAGCTGATAGAGCATTAAACTAGCTTGGAAGGGAGACAGGGATAAAAAAGATCTCGCCAGTGATCAGCGATGGGATAATATGCCAAAACTTGTGGAAATGAGTATTAATGGGAACCCTCGATCTGCTACGCCAAATGTTAGCTACAATGTACCCCATCCGAAATGTTTCTACCCCAATGCCTCCCTTATGAGGAACATGAGGAGCTCGAAGCTTTGGTCCACTCCTGAAGATTTGACATCACTGGCATATGTGAAACCTTGTGGGATTAGTCCTGTGACTGGACTGCCCTGTTGGATGGTTACAGGCTCTTCAGGATTGATGGGCAGGGCAGAAGAGGCACAGGGGTGGCACTGTATGTAATAGAAGGGTTAGGGTGTATGGAGATCACATTTGGCAATGGTACGGTTGAAAGCCTCTGCATAAGAACCAAGGGGCAAACAAATAATGTGGATATCATTGTAGGAGTTTACTATAGACTTCCCAACCAGGACAATGATGCCAACAAATTATTCTTTGAGGAACTAAGGGATACTTCCAAGTCAACTGTCCTTGTCCTTATGGGAGACTTCAACTTGCCAGAAATTCATTGGGAGTACCACACATAGGGTTTAACCAGGGTCAGAAAATTCCTAAAAAACCTGGATCACACCTTTATGGAACAATCCTAAGGGAGCCAACTGGGAAAGATGCCCTCCTTGGTCTGCTGCTTGTCAACAGAGTGGATCTTGTGAGCAAAGTGGAGATTGGCGGCTGTCTTGGCCACAGAGACCATGAGGTGATCGAGTTTAAAATCTCTGTTGATAGGAGGAATAGTGTCAGCAAAACATCACCTCCAGGCATGAGGAGAGCAGAATTCAGGCTGCTCAGGGAATTAGTAAGTAAGGTTCCCTGGGATAATGTTTATGCAGGTGCTGGTGTCCATCAGTGCTGGTCACTTTTTAAACATCACCTCCTAAGGCCACAGGAGCAGCAATTCCCAAAATGTCAGAAGTCAAGCAGGTGAGGCAGGAGGTCACCTTGGCTAAGCAGGGATCTTCTCTTGGATATAAGGCAAAAAAAGGTGTATGCCTAGTTGAAACAAGGCCAAATGACATGGGAAGAATACAGAGATGCTGCTTGCTGCTGTAGGGAGAAAATTTATGTGGCTAAAGATCAACTGGAGTAGAAGCTGACCAGAAATGTTCTGGACAAAAAACCGAATCCTTTCAAATATATTACTGGCACTAGGTAGTATTGAAATATCATTGTTCCATTACAGGATGAGGATGGTCACCTCACAAACAGGGATAGAGACAAGGCAGAGGTGTTTAATGCTTTCTTTGCTTCTGTCTTCAACATGGATGATGGACCAAGGGGGTTTCAGTGCCCTGAGCTGGAGGACCATGGCTGTGAGAATGATCAACTCTCAGTCGACCCCAGAATTGTACAGGATCTGCTGCTCCAGTTGGATCCCTACAAATCCCTGGGGCCTGATGGGATTCATCCAAGAATCCTCAAAGAGCTTGCTGTTGTTATCCCAAAGCCTCTCTTGATGATTTTTGAGAGGTCTTGGGAAGGAGGGACCATGGAGAGGTCCCAGCTGACTGGAAGCTGGTGAATGTTGTCCTGATTTTCAAGAAGGGCAAGAAGGCGGACCCCAGAAAGTCCAAGCCTGTCAATCTCACTTCAGTGCCTGGTAGTTATGGAGAAGATTATTCTGGGAGGTATTGAAAAAGATCTGAAGGACAACCCAGTCATTGGTCAGAGCCAGCAGGCTTCATGAGAGGAAAGTCCTGCTTATCAAACCTAATTTCCTTCTATGACAAGGTAACCTGCCTAGCTGATTGAGGGAAATCCAGTTGATGTGATCTTTTTGGATTTCAGTAAAGCTTTCGATACTCTCTCTCACAGGATCCTTCTGGACAAAATGTCCAGCACACAGCTGAATAAACACATCATGTGGTCGGTGAGTAGTTGGCTCACAGGTTGGGCACAGAGGATAATAGTGAATGGGGACTCCTTTAACTGCGAACAGTGGGCTAATGATGGCTGTGTCATGTACTTAATCCCACTCATCACAAGTCCCAATTGTGAACTGCTATGTAATCAGTGGCAAAATATCCTGTGAGTTTCAGTGAGTTTTGGCTCAAGACTATCAGCTCAGAATAGTGAAACAGTTTGATGAAGATTTGGTACAAGGTACAATACACATTAAGACAAAAGTGGCATTAAACTATGTGCCTTCAACATTCTGAGTCAGGACTTTGAATAACTTAGTAAGTCACCACAAATGCAGCTATTAGCTATTAAGTTATCATATGGCCCAAAATAGTCATGGAATTGCATTTTAGTAACATTAACGTCTCCTGATGCCTCTTCTCATCCTAAACCATTCTTGCACCAGAAGCTGTAATGAGACACAAACCCATATAAAACCTGTCTGCTGACTTATACCCATCCAGGATCTCATTCCTATAACTATTAACTTGAGGGCCAATTAATAGTTAATGTTGCAGGAGCCATAGCATAGGCAGTGTTGGAGGCTATGGGCAATGC